ATGATGGGAAAACGCAAAATCCTTTTTCGGGATTTTTCATTTTTTTTTTGTCTTTTGCTTAAAAAATGTGAAAGAAAAACATAACTGGGCCCTACTTGCTTTATTTTCACACTTCACCCTCTTTTCTTTCTCATTTACCCTCAATCATCATTGGTCTGCCAAATGACCCCTTTTACCCTTGAAAAATGCAACATGTAGCACATAAGATGCATCAGAACGGTCTTTTATTATTTGGGTACACCTGTCCTAGACGGACCCAACCCCTGTGTTGAGTCCCCTAAGTCAAATGCACATGATGCAAACAAACGTTCCTACTAGGGATCTGGCATGAGGCTGTGTTATTCTAGGTTTAAAACCTGGGTGTATCGTTTTAGACCTGGCTTACCCGAGCGGACAACTCGAGCCGAGGGGGGGCTACGTACCGGGAACCAAAAGGCCATCCGGCTTTGTAACTGATCCGATCCTCGTTCTAAATTAGGGTATGACACTAACAGAAAAGAAGTCACGCCAGCATGCACTTCCTAGAAGATTAGAAGAGAGGGGTTCGCAGCAGTTTATATACAGTTCAAATAATATCAAAGCGATAAAAAGCGGCATTTAGCACATTAGACCCAAGCATGTAATAAAAATCAGATAATAAATAATAGCCAAATATAACAATTATTCTAAGCTCGAATTCTTGAACCCTGAACCAGAGATTCTGGGTTCCATCCCCAGCAGAGTCGACAGAGCTGTCACGCCTCCTTTTTCTAACCCGGAAGGGTATAGGGGAGTTTTTCCAATTAAAGTGACAATAATCGAAACGGGGTTATTTATTCAAATTCAGAGTCGCCACTTGGGATAACATATGATGTCCCAAGTAACCGATTTAAAATTCCGAATCGAGGAAGTTTGACTCTATTTTACAGTCCGCGAAAACAGAAATCTGAGTAAGGAATTCTGTTAACCCGGGAGAAGGTGTTAGGCATTCCCGGGTTCCGTGGTTTTAGCACGGTCGCTCAACTATTATATTTGGCCTAATTATCTGATTAATTACATATTTTATACCTATTGTTTATTTTTAACCTTTGACCGCTTTTAATTATTTATGGAATTATTCTGAAACAAGTTACGATTGTCGTACACTTGTTTATTTGGTACAAATCGCGAATCGTGTCACGAGAGTCGCACCCACGATCTACAACATGTTTATTTTATTATTGTTCGAAGTTGTGGTCGGGTCACATGAAATGTGCACCCGAATTTGGGAATTACGTATCGTAACCATGTCACCGGAACTGTACCCATAGTCACGATGGTTCATTAGAAATCGCGCCGAAAAGTTTGCCCACCCACGTGATAACGGCCTATGCATGCTCATACTCGAAAAGTAACTAAAACAAGAATAAAAGAACGACGTTATTATCTTGAACCTAAATTTTCTTTTAATTTTTACCCAGCAACCCAATTTCTATACTGTGATGAAATCATGTTCAACTATAACCAATTCGAGTAAACACAAGCATATAACTAAGCGAACAAATTCAAAACTATGAAGAACAATTACACAAACAACGGAATCATATCACCAAGCAAACAATTAACATCAAGCTTGATTAAAACGAATAGAGGATGAAAGAATTGGACCTCAATATAGCCGGAAAATTGAGTGTTTCACTGTTTTGAACTCAAAAATGTAACAAACCGCGGACGAAACTCGAATTAACACTGGCAAGCTGAAAAACGGACAGAGTCTCGAATCGTCACCCGAAAATCAACCAAGCACGGATTCAAACCCACATTTTAATCAAAATTCACCCTGGAATCGAGGCCAAAGATGAAGCTTTCTAAGGAAAAGGCATTTAAGTGTTCTCTCAGCTTTAACAAACCCAGAAAACATGGAATAAGGCCGGTCCGAAAATGCACGAACATAGAGATCACGATTCATTGACCGCAAAACGCACAATAAAGACCTCCGTAGACGTATCCGAAAGCAAATGAGCATTGAGCACAATAAGTTCGGCGACGGCGGTCGTCGGAAGACGACGAGTCAACAAGTCAACGATGAGAATTCCTGAAGTGATGAAAAGGATCCCACTGGAAGAATACAGCGACAGTCGCTGGTTCGCTTGAAAAGGAGGGGTGTTCCGGCGATGGTTGCTTCTCTGGCGAGGGAGTGTGGCGTTAGGTTGCTGGGTTGTGGGTGGGGATGGTTGCTGATGATTTATGGTGAAGAAGAAGAAGGTGGTGTGTAGGAGATGAAGAAAAGGGGTCTATACAAGATGAATGGAAAACGGCTGCCTTTTTTGTGTCATTTTGTTTTGCGGCTGGTGCCTAAGGGTAGGTCTCTTTGTATGCTGAGAATGGCTGCTATGTCTCTAGGTTGAAGATGATGGAGAGGGGTCGTTGATGTAGCTCTAGGTTAGGGTGTGTTCTTTTTGATTCATAGAAACGATGGAAACGACTGGTCTGGCCGGCGGGTGGTTCTGCTGTGTGCGTGTGGTCGCTTCTCCGGCGAGCTGTGATGGTTAGAAGAAGAAGGGGTCTGTTGGTTTGGTCTTCATGGAGAAAATGATAGAAAACCGTCGTCTCTTGTGTAGTCTGGGTTTTTTTTTTGTCCAGATCTTGAAAATGTGTGTTAGGGTGTATAAGAAGAAGGGAGAGTGTGTCTTAGGTTTTGGGCTTTAAAATTGGGCCATCTCTTTGGACCTCTTCAATTAAGACCAAACAAAATTAGCCTCAAATTTCATACTCTTTCTTTTAAAACAAGACTAAAAATACTAAACCATTTACTAATTAATCCTACTTAAGTAAAATAACTATTAAAATAATACCGTTAAAATAAACCTATTTTTGGTATTTTTCAAATATCATACTAAAAGATCAAAATGGACAAATCATTGTTAAATTAAAATAATATTTCCGAAAACAATGTGAAACTATTTTTGTATTTTTGAATTTTATGTAAGGTAGATAAATTAAAAGTAACTAGATAAAATATTAATTAGCTAAATAAAAGAAAATATTTTTGTAATTTTTATTTTTGTGATAAAATAAATTAAAAGAGTCAAAACTATTTAAAATAGCGATATTAAACCTAAACTAAATATTTAAACGCTAAAAATGTGTAAAATCTCGGGGAGGGTCAAAAATCACATGTCTACAATTATCAGATCCTGAGAAAGTCTTCAAGGCGTTGAATCGTGCAAACAGGAAAAGCAAACAACAACAGAACTCAACCGAAAACATTGAATAAGACATGGAAGACCATAACCTAAACAAAAGAAACAACGTGAATGACCGAGTCGATTGGGGTGTGGCACCTCTTGTGCCAGAAGCAGCACTATATGATTGGACACAACCCAGTGCTGACAACTTGGCAACTGCCATTGTAGTCCCTCAGATATAAGCAGATTCATTCCAGATTACAAATAACATGCTACATCTGCTGCAGAATAAGGGACTATTCTTTGGGTCATATGTTGAAGATCCTCAGCAGCATCTAAAGAATTTCCTATCAATCTGTGCCACGCAGAGGCAACACAACATGACACCGGAAGCAATACGTTTGATGTTGTTTCCATTTTCAGTGACAGGAGCAGCTCAAACTTGGCTTAATTCACTCCCCATCAACTCCATCACTACTTGGGAGGAATTAGTCAAGCAATATTTGAGCAAATTTCATCCACCCAATAAGACTACTCAGCAAATTGATGAGATATTGAGCTTCAAACAGAGACCGACTGAGACGCTACATGAAACGTGAGAGAGATTCAAGGGTCTGCTGGTTACGTGTCCACATCATGGTATCCCAAAGCAGATGTTGGGGCAGAGATTTTACATGGGTTTAGCAGATACTTTGAAAGCAAATGTTGATGCTTCAGCAGGTGGAGCATTTTTTAGCAAGACATTCAGAGAGAGCAAGATCTTGCTTGACAAGATGGCACAAAACTCAGGATGGACAACAAGAAACGCTCCAATCACTCCTGTGGTGCACTCAGTGGCTCTAGACCCGGCTAACTCCATGGCTGAAAATATAGCGACTCTACTGACTTAAATGAGCATCCTCACCAAAAAGGTGGAGAATCAGGCCAGAAGCAGAAGGTACACATAGTTGATGCAATTAATGGGGGTCTATGTACATCGTGCGTTAATCAACCATATGTCTGCTCGTGGAGTGCTGAAGGTGATAATTAACAATATCAGTAGAACATGAATTATGTGGCCAACTATGGAGGACCGAGACCAGGTGGTCAGAATTGGGGTCATCAGAATCAACAATGCAGACCGGCTCAACAGCAGTACAATAACAACAATAATCATGGGGCTATACGACCACAGGGGAAAATGGTGCCTTACCAAAGGCAACAAGGGTACAACCAGCAAAATCAGCAGCAGGCTTATCAACAACCTCCACAACAGATTATGAGACATGAAGATTGGTTTGCTAAACTCGAAGGTATGATGCAACAAGTGATTAGGCCCACTGGAAAACTAGCTGACAGAGTAGACTCACATGAGTCAGCGATTAAGAATATTGAGATCCAGTTAGGACAGATTTCCATGGACCTAGATAATCGTCATTATGGGACGTTACCTGCAGACACTCAAATCAATCCAAAAGAGCAGGGCCCGAAGCAGCTGATGGCAGTGAGCCTCCCAAATGGTAGGGACTTAGATATGGAGCAAGAAATTGCTCGCGAAAGCATGCCGACTGAGACACTGGTGCAAGTACCCATTGAGATAGATGATTCAGCAGGTTTAACTGAGGTGACGGTACAGAATGCGCAAGAGAACACCAACAAAGAAGAAGAGGTTGTGAAAGAGACTGAAGATGCACCGAACCGATAGTAGAAACAATGCCTGAATAAGAGAAAAACCAAATTACAGGGAAGAAGCAACCTCCAGCACCATTCCCATAGAGATTGGCCAAGTATCAAAAAGATGAGCAGTACAAGAAATTTTTGGAGATGTTGAAGCAAATTTAGGTAAACATTCCATTGATTGATGCTTTAAAGTAAATGCCTGTGTATGCAAAGATGATGAAGGACTTGATGTCCCGCAAGTTCGACTTCCAAGACTTTGCCACGGTTACACTGACTCAGACCTGCAGTGCTGTTGTGATGAGACCCATAGCTGAGAAGTTGTCTGACCCAGGGAGTTTCACAATCCCTTGCACAATAGGAAACCTTGCATTTTCCAAGGCACTGTGTGATTTGGGAGCAAGCATAAACCTTATGCCCCTAGCTATCTACAAAAGGCTAGGCATTGGAAGAGCTAGACCCGCGTCTATGCTACTACAGCTGGCTGATCGAACAGTGAAGAGGCCCTTTCGGATTCTAGATGATGTATTGGTGCAGGTTGGGAAGTTTGTGTTCCCAGCAGATTTTGTCATCCTTGACTGTCGGGTTGACGAGGAAATTCCCATAATTTTGGGAAGACAATTCTTGGCCACTAGGAGAGCTTTAATTGATTGTGAAATTGGAGAGCTCAAGATGAGATTAAATGATGAAGAGATAACATTCAACGTGCAGAAACCTATGCGCAGACCTAGTGAAATTGCCAATTATTCTCTAATAGATGCGGTAGATGTAGTATTGGAGGAGGGCAATGAAGCATTGAACGTTAAAGACCCCCTAGAAGCTTGACTCATGAACTTAGACGAAGCTAATGGTGAAGACTTGGCAGAGTGGGTACTAGCTCTTGAAGGCCAACGTTTTTGGAAAAGGGAGCTTGAATTTGAGCCTTTGCACTTGGAGGAAAGAAAAACTCCTCCAGCCAAGCCGTCAATAGAAGTGCCACCAAAGTTGGAATTGAAGCCACTGCCCTCTCATCTCAGTTATGCATTCTTAGGACCTAATGTCCCCTTTTTCCCTCCTCGCGGAGAACGTCTGGGTTTCGACATTTCATGGGGGATCGACTCGTCTCAGTTTTAACAGATTATTTCTTCATCTACTAACTCTATAAATTGCAGGATGTTTTCACATTAAAGAGTTGCACAAAAACGCAGAAGTTAAACGTGAATTGAGAGCAAAATAGCAAGGCTTTTTGCAAGCAGTTCGTGTGTGATTCAAGTGTGTAAACATGAAGCTACAAGAACCAGATTGAAGAACCAGGTCCATCACTCAGGTGCAAAAAAACGGGCAGATTTGAGCATGTGGGTTTCACGTGAAGGAGATAAGCTTAACTTGGTGTATTTAATATCTCCTGATCGAAAAGGTTGCATAATTGATAAGGAGAAGGAGTCCTTAATCAAAGAGAACACAATTCAAGATAGGGAAGGAGTTAGAAGTTGAAATCAACTAGAACTCTTCCACCAAGGAAGAGTTGCATCAGAACTCTAGTTATTTCTTCATCTACTAACTCTATAAATTGCAGGATGTTCTCACATTAAAGAGTTGCACAAAAACGCAGAAGTTAAACGTTAATTGAGAGCAAAATAGCAAGGCTTTTTGCAAGCAGTTCGTGTGTGATTCAAGTGTACAAACCTGAAGCTACAAGAACCAGATTGAAGAACCAGCTCCATAAAGAGTTTTATGTGTCTTTCTTTTATTCTAGTTCAATTGTAGTAGGTGTTTCATATTGTACCTTTCAGCTTTATCTAGAAGCAATTGTATTAGGTACTTTGAGTATTCAAGTTAGAGTTAACTTGAAGTTGTCGCAGCAGTTAGAGGCTGGTTGCCACAACGGGATTAGAGTTAATCCTTAGGTTTACAAAGAGTTTTGTAAATGCAGTTTTGGCTCAGTGATTTTAGTGGAAGTTTGGGAAAATCCTACTAAGTAGTAGGTCGTGGTTTTTTCACCTTTTGAGCCAGGTGTTTTCCACGTAAAATCTCTGTGCACTTTACTTTCAGTATTTATTATTCCGCAAACTGCTGTAGTTAGAACACTTAGAAGAACCAGGTTCTTCTAACGCGAAAATTAGGTACCACACAAATCACCCCCCCCCCTCTTGTGTGGTATTGACGTTTATAACATCAATTGGTATCAGAGCAGGTTATCCTTGAAGAGGCTAACACCTTAGGAAAAGATCAACATGAGTGCACCACCTGGGAACTGGGAAGGGCAATCCACTGATAGGCCTCCACTCTTTAATGGACACTACTACTCTTGGTGGAAAAACAGGATGAGGGATCACATCATTGGAGAAGATTATGAACTCTGGGACATAGTCACTGATGGTACCTTAGCAACTACAAAGAAGAATGCTGAAGGAGTGGACGTGCCAAAGACAAGGGCTGACTGCACTGCTGAAGAACTGAAGAAGTGGGAGAAAAATGCTAAAGCCAAAAAATGGCTTGTACGTGGACTAGGTCCAGATGAGTACAGCAGGATCCAAAGTTGTACCACTGCTAAGACTAGTCCAGATGAGTACAGCAGGATCCAAAGTTGTACCACTGCTAAGGAAATCTGGGACACTTTGCAAGTGGCTCATGAAGGAACACCTCAAGTGAAGAGGTCCAGAGGAACACTGCTGTATTCTCAATATGAGAATTTTACTATGAAGGAAGGAGAAACTATCCAAGAGATGTATACTAGGTTCACTACACTGACAAATGAACTTAAGTCTTTTGGAAGGGTTATTCTTGAAGAAGACAAAGTTGAGAAGATTTTGACAAGGGTACTGCCAATCTCTTGGGAAAGCAAAATCACAGCTATTCAGGAATCAAAGAACATTTCCACTCTTAAGTTGGATGAGCTAATTGGAAATCTCACTGCTTATGAACTTAGAAGGCAAACCAAGAAGATGGATGCACCCAAGAAGGAAAGGAGCATGGCATTCAGAATCACTGAAGGTGCTGATCTAGATGAGGATGAAATGACCATGATCACAAAGGATTTTAAGAAGTACCTAATAAGACAAAATGGTCCTTCAAGAAATGAAAGCTACAACAAACCAAGGGTTCCTAAAAAACAAACCAATGAGGGGTGCTACAAGTGTGGGAAGACTGATCAACACATCTAAAATTGCCCTCAATGGGAAATTGAATGGAAGAAGGAAAGAGCTGAACGAAGGAACAGGAAGAAGGAACAGGTTCATCTTAAGAAGAACAAAGGATCAACAAAGGCAATGGTTGCTGCTTGGGGTGAAAGCTCAGATGATGACTCAGAAGACGAAGATGGAGATGAACAAGCACTTATGGCAATTCGGAAATCCGATGAGGAATCTGAGGTAAGTATAATTCATCTCAAAGACAAGATTAAGTTTTTGTCTAAAGAATGTCTATCTTAATTACTTCTAGATTTCATTGATGAATTTGAAGTTATAAATAATGAAAAGGAACAGCTGTCTAAGGAGTGTGTGATTCTGAAAGCTAAGTGCAAAAACCTGGAACTTAGGGCTAGTGTAAGTGATAGTAAAAATGCTGAGTAGAAGAACCAGGTTCATGAACTTGACACCACAGTCCTAGAGCTCAAATCTGAAAATCTAAAATTGAAATTAGGAGCTGGTAAAAAGGAATCTGATCACACACAACTCACTTTAGAAGAAAATGTAGGAAAAATGAAAGATGAGTTGTACAAAAGAGATGAGCAGATAAGAGTCCTTAAGGAGGATCTAAACAAGGTTAAGCACGAGCTAGATAGAACCTGTAAATGGAACTTTTGTGGGTCCAAGTGAAAGGGAGCAGCCAAATATGGTACATGGATAGTGGCTGCTCAAAGCATATGACAGGAAGCAAGAACCAGTTCCTTTCACTTGAGGACCTCAAAGGAGGTAATGTCTCCTTTGGAAATGGGAAGAAAGGTGAGATCATTGGGGTTGGAAAGGTAGGTAAGACTGATTCTCACTCTATTGAGAATGTCTACTTGATAGATGGCCTAAAGTACAGTCTAATCAGTGTATCACAATTATGTGATAAAGGTAACTTGGTAGCATTCACCACTACCAAATATTTTGTGATTAATCTTACCATTGACAAGATTGTTTTGTAGGGAAAGACCTGGTGATAGGGCTGCCTAACATCAAGTTCAAGGAAGACAAAGTTTGTGAGGCTTGTGCAAGGGGGAAGCAGGTAAGATCCTCTTTTAAATGCAAGAAAATGGTAAGAACCACCAGATGATGGAACTGGTCCATATGGATCTCTGTGGTCCCATGAGAACATTAAGCAGAGGTGGTAAAAGATATGTGATGTTGCTTGTTGATGATTCTCTGGGTTTACTTGGACATTATTTTTAACATCTAAAGATGAAGCATTTGACATGTTCACTTCTTTTGTTAGAAAAACTCAGAAACAACTAGGTATTCAACTTGCGTCAATTAGGTCTGATCATGGAACTTAATTTGAAAATGCTAAGTTTGCTGAATTTTTGCATGCTACATCATAAATAGTTGCATGACTAGACCTCTTGTTAAGAAGATTCCCTATGAGTCACTTAAAGGGAGAAAGCTAAATATATCCCATCTTAGGGCATTTATATGCAAGTGCTTTGTGCACAATAATGGCAAAGACTCCCTAGGTAAGTATGATCCCAGAAGTGATGAGGGAGTATTCTTGGGATATTCTTCACATAGTAAAGCTTATAAGATATACAGTAAAAGAACTACGTGTGTAGAAAAAATGTATATGTTATTTAAAACTAAAATTCTTTCTGAGAAGCAGGAGAAATATAATGAAGAGATTGGGCTGATAAGAAATTCAAATGGTGAAACCATAGTCCAGCCTGCAGAAGCATCACAGGAAGGAACATGTGATGGAACAGGTCCTTCCACCCATGGCAACATGACAGGGGGAACTGACTAGAGAGGAACTGATCCTCAAACCTCGAGGGAACCTGTCCATAAACATATTACTCAGTAACAATACCAGGAAGGAACATCCAAAGAAATTGACACTCCTATTGCAACATCCACGAAATTAGATATAGATGAACCCGGTTCATCTGTTGATCAGAAGTTGTATAGGGGAATGATTGGTTCTCTTTTATATCTCACTACTAGCAAACCTGACATTGTGTGCAGTATAGGTCTTTGTGCTCGATTTCAGGTTTTCTAGTTGATAGGAAGAGCAACCCAGGTATGGCACACTTCCTTGGTTCATGTCTTGTGTCAAAGGCTACCAAAAAGCAAAATTCAATGGCCTTATCTACTGCTGAAGTTGAGTATGTTGCTGCTGCTTCATGTTTTGTTCAATTGTTGTGGATCAAACAACCATTACTGAACTTTGGAATTGATGTTGGTTGCATCCCTATTTTCTGTGATAACACTAGTGCTATTAGTATGACTAAGAATCCGGTTCATAATAAGAGAACTAAGCACATAGATGTTAGACACCATTTTTTTAGGGACAACTATGAGAAAGGCTTGATCACTGTGGAGTTTTGTGCTACTGACAAGCAAATTGCTGGCATCTTCACAAAAGCCTTAAGTAGAGATCACTTTGAGAGGAACAGGTTGGAATTAGGGATGATTAAGATCACCTAAAAGGACCAGTTCATGGTTAAACGAAAAAAAAAGATTGAAAAACAAAAATTGGTTAGAAGGTCTGTAAATTGGGTATAATTAGATTAAATCTTGTTCAGTCTCATACTTTTCATAGTATACTCTTGTGCCATGTGTTAAAATGACTCATTAATCTCTAATGATATTTTCTCTATTTTGGCAAATTTAGACTCACACAAGAGAATTATCAGTGAAAAACCTGGTTCA